ATTTGTCTTGTCCTCATTGGTACATTTGACTATTCTGGCCTATGATGTCACTTGATAAAATACAAAGAAGTACTTAAATTAAAACAGAGAAAACTGCTTGTCCTTTACAAAATTACAACCACTTAATTACGTAATTAGCTTTGCTTGTGTTTTCACTTTCTCCACCTGTCTATTCATACTCCCTTCGGTCCACAACAAGTGATCAATTTGTTTTGAGCGCACCCATTAAGAAAATACTAAATTCTAGAGAAAAGTAATTAATAAAATTAAGCTACCCTTAGTTAAATGTTGCAACATAGTTAATGTGAGGAGTAAAAGACCTTTTAGGAATACGTACATGAGGGTAATTTTAAAAAAATAAATTGAATTGTTTCTTGGTTATATAAATGGACACTTATTTTGTACCAAAATAAAAAAGTAAATTGATCACTTATTATGAACCGGAGGGAGTATATCGCAAGTTATCTCAATAGTTTCTCATTTTTGTATTTTATTGTAAGAATTCATGTTCTATTTTTTGGCATAGAAAGGTTGAGTTCTAGTTAATGCATAAATAGAGAATCCAGAAGTTCTTTTGGACTCCCTCTTTTTGTCAAACCTTTCTACTAATGTACTCATTATTCTTTTTGTAATAATGGGTGACTATTAAGCATAGATATATTTTGAAAAATCTCCAATTATAACATAATTCGCGTCGAAAACAATAGATTAGTTCATCTACCGCAAAAAAGTTACATCCTTCCCCGGATTGGGGAAGGGCGCGGGCGTACCTATGTTACTATGGGCATTCACGCTCATATAAGGTCTCACAAGCTGATATCAAAATCGATGACATGTGACAACCATGGGCGAAGCTACATTGTCATGAGAGTGATCAATTGACCACCTTTTGTCGAAAATTTATATCGCATATATAGGTAAAATAATAGATTTTAGAGATATGACATATATTGAATACTCTTTGTCGGAGAATTTTTTTCACTTCTTTTGAATTTGAACACTCTTGAATAAATTTCTGGCTTCGCCACCGATGACAATTGTTGAGGTTTTAAACTAAATTAGACTTAAAAGAGGGTGAATGGGAAATGGAGGGAAAATGAAATATTTGAGTTTCATTTGAGATTCCCTCCTTGACAAAGGAACATTGTCCCATATTGGAAGAGGAAAAAGTTTTTGATGGGTATATATACAATTGCACTTCTTCTAGCTCTTAAAGAGTTAAGAAGAAGGCAAGCTTCGCGCCGTCGTCATCGTCGCTCGCTTGGATCGGATTCGGATTTGGTCAAATGATTGATTGATTAATTTTTTGAACCAGATTTATTTGTTATCCGTTTTCAGTTATTCTTTTTTGTAACTGAAAATTAACTTCCCTCTTCAATTCCCGATTTATTGTTGCGTAAATAGCTATTTATGTTATGGCCTACGATTTTCTGAGTTCTCCTCCTTTCTTCTGCATTGTTTTAATTTTAAAGAAAGCAACAATAAGTGTGATTTGCTACCGAATTTTGTGTTCGCTGAAACATTGGGGTTTGAAGTATCACTACATCGGTGTGTAATTCGTTCTATTCTGGGAGGAAATAATCCACAACCTTAGGTACTAGAAGGGGTTAAATTCCTTAAGGAAACACTGTGAATTCAGTGGACTCAGATTAACTTCTGTTTGTTTATAGTTCTCTTTATATGTTATTTTATTTTCTCCAAAATTATTTTACAAATACAGTACACCGACAACAACGGTAGAAATAGCGAAGTGATTGTGTGAAGCATTTGTTTCCCTCGTCTAATATTAGAGACTCGCACAAAGAAAAGCTTGCAAAATTTGATGATTATATAAATAGTCGAATAAAATGGACGATAACGTAACAATTTTTCTATAACTAACCTGTCAATTTTGTGGTGGGCTAGAGAAACAATTTACCAAAAAAAAAAAGAGCTGAATAAATCAAGGAAAAGAAATGATCACTTTAGCCGCAAGAATCATGTTTTATAATTATGAGCAATACTCTAACTTCTATTATGACACCAAAAACGTGTTGCATGTCTTTCTTTTCTGTATTTAGGGAAAAGAAAAGAGCTCGGGGACAGGAAGATGCAAAATTACTATTAAAAACTTTAGGAGTACAAGTGCTACTATATTTTGTTTGAAATTATAAGAAAGGAAAAAAAGGCAGTTTGGTGCATAAAGTAAATGCAGAATTTGAGAAAGGGTAGCACCCTAAGAGAGTATGATGTATGCAATCTATTCTGATACAAGCATCAATGACTGATTTTACGAGTTAAACGTGTTACCTATAAGTCACGGGGACAACTTGATTAATTCCTTTAGCAATAAAATAAACCAAGGAAATCTATTATTGGACATTAGGGATATGTCTTTAGAAAGTGCTTAGGAATGATGGTTGTCGTGGAGTGTCCTAGGACACAATGATTGCCACAGTCATCTTTAGTTAATCAACCTTTCACGCATATTCAAAAGTAGTTTAAGGCCAAATTGTTAAGGTAGTATTCGCTAAGATTCATTTTTTGGGCCTCATAATTTTATTCTCTTGAAAGTAATCTTAAAAGTTGAATTATAAACTCGCCTTTTTTTTTTTTTTTTAAAGCTTTAACTTTCTCCTTTCATTTTGATGTAAGATTTGCGTAAAACAATTTTTTTAATAGACTTTCTTTTGAGTTCAATCGTTATTAATTGTAGAATGTTATAATAAAAATATTTATAGCACTTTGTTTCCATGGAATCGGAAATTGTAGTTGGTGGGGAGAGGGAATAATGTAGAGAATGGGCAAAATTTGCATCCTCAATCTCTTTCAATATTTCAAAATTCAGTAGGTTGTATAACTCAAATTTTTTTTACTAAGGAATAATATCACCTGCTACTAGTTAAATAATGCGTAGTCCTAATTTCTCGATGATAGGGCCTAATAGTGTTGTATGCAGCGTAGGATTCAAAATTTAAACTTGAACAGTGCGACCTAAAGCTACATACTCAAATTTAAATTTTTTACATATATACTTATATTTTGGGCACACGCAATTAATTAGATAAAGTTGAAGCACCTAAATTTCCGGCCAAACCATTGATTCTTCTTCATAATTTAGTTAGCTATTGCATAAGTTAATAAATGATAATTTGGTAGATCCTCCCCTTTCTCCATTAATTGACGTGTGAGGTGAGTCAATTAATTACTTCTATATTTTTTTATTCGGATTATATTTGTGATTGCTATATATCCTATTAATCATTTCAATTTTATCAAATGTTTTAATGAATTGAATTTTATGAACTTTATTAAAATTAACTTTAACATTTCAAAAAAATATCACGCTTCACCATCTAATCAAGAATTAATTATAATAATTATTGAATACTATATGAAATGATTAATGACGATCCGCCAAAAGATGATTCGGACGAGATTTGATATTTTGAATTATGAGATCCTTCCGGATTAGCAATAAGAATCTTAGTTATTCTCATTTGTTTTCTTAATTGAAAAAATAATTGGACATGCTAATGGTTGAGCATAAACACGTTATACATCTCACGTTAAATCTGTAGATAATAATAATAATAATAATAATAATAATAATAATAATAATAATCTGCTCCTTTATCATATCGAACGAACATTCGAAAAAGATCAAGAACACTAATAAATCCAACTGAACCATGTATGAACCTCAAAATTTTTGAGCTTTCTCGTCTTAAAAATTATAATAATCTAAATCCTACTGGCATCCATCTACTAATCTCGTAAATCAATATCTTTTTCTTTTTGTAGCAGTTTACGTGACATATATTTTTTTATTTTTTCTCGAAACATAACTACTTTTCTTTAAAAATAATTAAAATTTAAAATTTTCATTTATTTTTAATGAAATAATTTAAAATTAAATAAATATTTATGACTTATTTTGTATCACAAATTTCCAAACACTATTCTTTTATTTTGTAAGTTTTGTGCTCACATAAACACCATCACACGGACGAAGCATTGATTTTTAAAGAAACCCTAAAAGAAATTTAAAAAAAAAAAACAGATCAAGGGTTCTTGTAGGATGCATATTCATCCTTAACCAGAAGTCTTGGGTTCGACCATGAGATCAACCGAGCTCCAAAGCAAAGCGAATTCTGATCAATTGCGCTTTACATCGAATATCACACACTCCTTCCGTTTCAAATTAGATGAGGTACTTTCCTTTTTAGTCTGTTCCAAAATAAATGACATATTTCTAAATTTGGAAATAATTTAACTTTAAACTTTTTCTTTTACCCATTTTACCCTTAATGAGAAGCTTTTATAACCACACAAATATTATGGCCCCACAAAGCTTTTACCCCTTAAGCTTTTAAGACCATAAGTTTTAAAAATCTTTTTTTTAAACTCTGTACCGAGTCAAACTACAACAACAACAACCCAATATAATTCCACTAGTGGGGTCCGGAGAGAGTAGTATGTACGCAGACTTTACCCTACCATAGGGTAGAAAGACTATTTCCAATAGACCATCGCATCCCTTCCTCCAAGAACTACCCACCTTGCTCTTTAGGTGACTCGAACTCACAACCTCTTGATTGAAAGTAAAGGGTACTCACTACTAGAGCAACCCACTCTTGTTACCTCCGTGTCGAATCAAACTACCTCATTTACATTGAAACTGAAGGAGTACCAGATATGAAAAAAAAAAGAGATGAAAGGTTGTGAGTTCGAGTCTCCCCAAGAGCAAGTTGAGAAGTTGTTGGAGGGAAGGACGTTGGAGGTCTATTTGGAAACAGTCTCTCTACCTCAGGGTAGAAGTAAGGTCTACGTACACACTACCATTCCTAGACTCCACTAAGTGGGATTATATTGGGTTGTTGTTGTTGAGATGAAAGGTCCTCTCCGAGGCCCTTCTGGTCAAATCCATTGAATCACATAATCTAATTGCAATTGTCTAACAAATTACAATGCATTAATTGTGGTATTAAACCCTTCAGCCATTAACAAATCACAATCCATGCAATACTGCTCTCCCCCCTCCCCCACCCCCTACTTCCCTCCCTCCATTTGTCCACATTTTCTCTCTATCAAAACTTCCATTCCTCTCTCTCCTCCAAAAGCATAACACATCAATGGAGGACGAAGAAGAATTCTCCATTCAAGAAGAAACACAACAAGTCTTGAAAGTACTCCAAGCACTAAAACAAGCTTCACAAGACTTACAAACCAATCCTGAACCCAACTCGTCCGAGTCAGACTCACCCATTAAAGCCTTACTCGAGCTCGAAACCGAGTCAAACTCACTCCTCTCCTCTGACCCAAATCTCTCAAACCTCTCTCACCATCTCTCTGATCTCAAAACCCTCATTTCCTCTCTCCAAAAATCCAAACTCAAACACGGTCTCCGCTCGTTCCTAACTCGCCGAGTCAAGACTCATGAAATCACCCGAGTCGCGGAGTCAATCGAGTCAGAAATTCAATCTTGGATTGACCGAGAAACAATTTCAAATCTCAGTTCAGAGCTTGAAAAAATCAGTTCTTTAGAGTCAAATTTGAGTTCTGACGAAGAAGATGATCTTGTTCGGAAATTGGGTCAGTTTCATTTTCGTTTAAGTCAAGGTTTTGATATAAAAATTCAAGATTTATTGTTAAAATCAAGAATTTTTGAAAAGCTTGAATTTTTACTTTGTAATGTTAACATGTCCAAAAGGGTACGTGAAAATGCAGGTTTTGCGTTAAAAGAAGTTGTACTTTTTAATAAAGATGTTTTTGTGGGTCAAGTGTTAATAGGACAAACTATAAGGGCTTTAGTGTCAATGGAAACTTTGGGTTCTTTAGAAGTTTTAGGTTCACTTATAAAAGCTATTAGAAGTCCTCTTGTTGATGTAATTGAATCAGTTGGTGGGATTTCAAAGGTGATTTTGTATTTAAATTCAGAGGAATTGGAATTAAAAATAATGGCTTTTGATTGTGTTCTTGAAATTGGTTATTTTGGGAGGAAAGAAGCTGTTGAAGCCATGTTAAATGAAGGGTTAATCAAGAAATTAGTGGAATTACAAAGGTCTAAATTGGGTGGTGATTTGATTGATTTAGGAAAAGTTCATGGGGAAATTGAAGAAGATCAAGAAAATAAAGGGGTTGAAGTGAACAAGAAAAAAAGTTATGGAGAAAAGAGATTTTTAGAGAGGCATCCATTTGCTAGTTGTGTAGCAAGATTTGCAGTGCAATTGGAAATAGGAGAAGGTTTAAGGCAAAGAGAAAAAAGGGCATTTAAACAAGAAATTTTGAAGAAAATTAGAGAGGCTTCTAATTCTGATGCTGAAGCTGCCACCATTGTTGCTGAGGTTTTGTGGGGTTCTTCACCTTGAAATTATTGTTCAACAAAATTCAAGGAAAATGAAGAAACGTGTAAGTAGTAGTATATTTTATTTTTTGGTAATCTTTGTGGATTAGTTTTTATGTTTAATTGTGTATGTAGCTGCTGTTGTAAAGGGATCATGAAATAAATTCCTTGGATTATTTTGTTTATCCATGACAAGATTTGGTTAATTCAAGATTTGATTTTACTAACGGAATTTTTCAAAATTTATAGCTTTTTTGGATGATTGTTACATCTTTTCATAACCATTTTATATTATACTGTATGGTTGGTGAATACAAATTTTGGATAAATTGTACTGTCGGTTGTCATTTCATGATGTCACGGACCATCATTATTAAGAATAAATTTATAATATTACAAAAAAATGGTACGAGATGAAATTATTATATAAAAATGAAGGATAATATGTCACGACCCAAACTGGAGGGTCATGACTAGCGCCCGGGCCATATTTGTCGAGCACCAACGTATATTTTATCTAACCTTCCTTATTATCTTTAAGGGCCAACGAGATCAATATAAATGATAGGCATGGATCATGAACAACTAACAATGAAAGATAATGGCATGAACATACATAACTTATCGAGCTACCACTATGTATAAGGTACGAGCTACCACGCTGCGATGAAAGACTATACAACAAAACTTACCGACAAGGCATACCAAACTATACATGAGTTGACACCTGTCTATGAGCCTCTATAGGAACATAAGTGCTGCAATATTGCCGGAACAGGACCCCGACATACCCATGATGTCTATAACAAAAATGCATGCCAAGACCACGACAAGTTCATAGAAGGGATCTCGCCAATAGCCACTGTACTGGGCAGCCTACTGTGGTGGGGGAGCAACGTCTACCTGTCTATCAGGACCTGCAGCACGACATGCAGCGTCCACAAATAAAAAGGACGTCAGTACGAATAAAGTATTGAGTATGTAAGGCAAAGAACCACAAGTACGAGCAGTATGCAAGCAGGGATAGGGAATATACAACCTATAATATCTGGGTACCTCTGAGGGCTACTGACATAAAATACATGATACATATGTATATATACATAAACTTTTAAAACATACGCCTTTGTGGGCATCATCATCATATCGTACCCGGTCGTAATTGGCTCGATAAAAACGTACCCGACTATCATAAGGCTCGGTAGAATCGTACCCGGCCAGGTGAAGCTCAGTAAAACCCAATTGATCAGTGGTTGCACAATAGGTGCCGTACCCGACAATCTATAGCGCGGCTCGGTAGAGTAAAATAGTTACATATATATAATGCATGATGGACTCATTGGAAAAATATTCTGAACCTTTAGGAATGGCATAAGGTCGGTATCCTCTATACACATTATTAGGACTAACTCTTCATCATGAATCTTATAAGAATAAGGAAGTACCAACAACATTGATAACATAAGAATAAGAGAAGCTACATCAACATCAATCGCTCCATAAGAAGGGAAACAATGTAAGTACTACTAGCTTCTAAGAGTAATCTTTGGAAACTCGTTCATTACATTGTGTACAATCGAAGTCGTACAAAAGAAGGAAAGGGATAGCCTCACATACCTTGTATATACTTCCCAACACCAAGCTATGCAAATTTCACGACTCCTTAGTCTACAATAAGAGAAATGACACTATCGTTATCGTTTAGGCGTCGTAACTATTATGTATCGACCACAACCTATATTGCGAGGAAACGGACAACACCTCCCCTATTTATCTGACTTCCCACAAGTCAAAACAATCATCAAACAGCCAAAACAACATCAATAATAATTATATTGAGCCTCCCAAAATAGTCTACCAACCAACAATACTACTACCAAGCCTTTCGATATATATTTCACAAGTTCTAGCTTCAATGACTTAGCCGCAACTTGGATAATCTTAAATACATGTAGAGTAAGAAGTTCCTTACCTTTAAACAGAAAGAACAACTCCAATTTAACCTTAATTTTTCACGAAACATCCCTCCAATGTTGCTACAAGAAAAAGGAAGCGAAACTAGCAATCCATTAGGGTTTTTCGACACTAGAATCACTTTAGAAGACTTAAAATCACCTAGGGTTGCTATTAAAAACATGAGGAAGTATTTACGGAACATAAACCATTTGAAACAACCTCCCACATGAGCTGGAACAACACAAAAATGAGCAACAACAAGAAGAACAAGAAACTTACTAGCGCCACGGGATTTCCGAGACTTGATTTATGTTGTTTGTCCTTTGTTTGATCTTGGATCATGAGAGAAACTTGAGAGATTATTTTTAGGGTTCTACGGTATGAATATACTGAAAAAGAATGACTAAAAACGGGGTTGAGGCATCTTATTTATATCCATATATCTTAAACCGCCTATGTGGCCCCCATAGGAGCTGCTTGCTGCAGTCTCGCAAAAACGTGAATATCCCTCTACTCCAAGATGTTATCAACAAACGGTTTAATGCATTGAAAAATAGACTCATAGATCTTCAATTTGGTGGGTAGATCACCCCGTAGTTCCAAGTAAATTGGGAGAAAAGCTTAGTAACATTTGACCTAAAGTTTAAGTAAAATTATGAACCTAAGTTGCGACAACTTTTGTCGACTTTTATTTCATAACTCGTTTGACTTCAAGACTTATGATACGGATATTATATAATCCAAATACCTAAAAACACAACCTCTTGAGAATATTAAGCACCTCTAGGTTTACCCGAAAATACGAGTTACAACATCCTTGATTCGTTTAACTTCTAATACTTGTTAACCACCCTTATACACCCTTGTATTATTTAAGACCAATAGGATTAACTTCTTATCATCTTAAAGATAATCTCTTCATGGATTTACGTCAACTATCTTACGGCATGAACTAACGTACGTGAATATGGGTTGTAACACCCTCCCCCTCTAGGAACATTAGTCCTCAAATGTAAGGGTTTATTTGGAGTCTAAATCATCATGGATTCCAACGGAAATTTCTGGCCAAATTTCCCCTATGAAATGGACACTAGCCAAACATGCAAGCAGTTAAACCCAACGTATTGCCTCACAAGGCTAACAAAGCATTATGGATATGTACATTATCTGCATTTCACCATTTTGTATTAAGGAAGAGTATTCTCAAGTTATTGCTTACCTCATAGAACCGTTTCACCTTCTAATGCATCATGCGTTCCCCTGGCATCCTCGTTATCTTCATTCTGGAACATGTAAGGGTATTTAGACTTCATCTATTCTTCTGCTTCCCATGTCATTTCTTCTATATTCTTGTTCCTCCACAATACTTTGATGGAGGCTACATCTTTTGTCCTCAGCTTGGGGACTTGTCGATCTAATATAACCACTGGCACTTCTTCATATGATAGATCCTCTGTAACTTGTACATCTTTGATAGGGACGACTCGAGAACCTATCGACCTACTAGAGCATAGGTTTGATTTTGAGAACTACTCAAACTCGGCACTGCACCTTTACCTCTACCACGACCTGTCGACTGCTGAAAACCCCGTGCTGGAGGTCGAAGTGATGAAGAACCATACACAGATCCAGTCGGCTGAGCCATACCACCACCTCCTCTGTTAGGATAATCCCACATCATATGGCCAGGCTATCCGCAAGAATAGCACGTATTATAACCTCAATAGCACAGTCCAAAGTGGGCCTTACCACACTGATCACAATATGGTATTGGGGGTCTCGTCTGACTAGTATCCCTGTGATATTGCCAGCCTGATTCCCGCAAACTCTAACTTGGACCAGAATAGGTAAATCAATCCTATCGAGGCCTATAAAACTGTAGAGGAGCACTAGCTACAGGTGGCGCCGAACTCCTCAAAGACTGGGGCATGACACTGCCTCTGAAGTCATCAGAATACCCTGCAAATCTCTCCCTCTTATGTTTGCCCCTATCCTGATCCCTATCTGCCCTTTGCTGGCGCTTATGATCCTCTGGGGTCTGGGCATAAGTATGAATAGGGGAAATATCCATGCCCTCCACCAAGGAGGTTGTCGTGCACTCATTTACAAGATGTGGTCCCAACCCGTTCACGAACAGATTCACCCTATCGCTCATCTCGGCCACCATACGGGGAGCATACCTTTCTAAAGAATCAAACTGCATACTATACTCTCGCACACTCATATTCCCCTGTCGAAGACTCAAGAACTTATCAGCTCTAGCTTTTCGTATCTCAACTGGTAAGTAGTGACGAAGAAAGGCCTTAGAAAATTCCTTCCACACATCTGGAGGAGCGTTCGGACCCCTGGAACTCTCCCAACTGTCATACCAGAAAACCGCTAAATTCCATAACCGATAAGAAGCCAACTCTACTGCATCTGTATCACTAGCATGCATAACCTGCAGTGTACGATGAACCTGATCAATAAAAGTCTGCAGGTCCTCCTTGGGGTCTGATCCGGTAAACACTAGATGGTCTAGATTAATAAAAGCACGAACTCTCATACTAACCGGTTTATCAACAACACCGGTATTCTGCCTCTGAGCCTGAGCAACTACCAAGCTAGTCCTAGTCTGTAGTACCAGACGGAGGAACTGGTGGTGCTGGGTGCCTCCTAATATCCTCTGGAGGAGACAGAGTAGATGAGGTATGAGACATCATCTCACTCTGAGCCTCACTTTGGCCTGCTCTAGCTTGGGGCACCTGACTGGTACCCTATCCCGCAGTTGTATCAAGCAGTCTACTAATTGTTTGCTTCCTAGTCGAAGACATCACTGAAAGAAAACAAGGTGAATATTAGAGACGAACACTTACGACTCAACTCTACGCACGATCTAGATTCAGGAAGAAGGTAACAACCCTAGATCTCATGTAGTCTCCTGATTATAAATGTGGCGTGCTACACATCCATAATCAAAACTCTACTAGACATGGCTCATAGACAACCCATAGGACAGACTTGCTCTGATACCAAGTTTGTCACGACCCAAACTGGAGGGTCATGACTAGCGCCAGGGCCATATTTGTCGAGTACCAACGTACATTTTATCTAACCTTCCTTATTATGTTTAAGGGCCGGCGAGATCAATATAAATGGTAGACATGGATCATGAACAACCAACAATGAAAGATAATGGCATGAACATACATAACATGAGATGACCAGACAGTCAAGAAACTATATATAAGGTACGAGCT